TATTTATGTTCTAGTTCTCTTGACTGGAGAACATAAGCTTCAAAATAAATAAATCATCGGTAATGAATGTGAAAGGACCTTAGAAACTATAAAATGCTTTGAAAATGATAATTCCACTGGACTTGAGAATGTTTCAAATTGTTATACAATTTGAAATGGTTAAGTAATTTTCCAGGAAGAGGGGTTCTGTGGGCCAGCTTTTCTGTAGGTTTTGTTTTTGTTTTGTTTTTTTTAATGTGAGTGCTATTCCATCCAGGCATGTGAACTGGGTCCTAGAATACAGCTACAGGCTAAAACTTGAAGTGACCATGACCAGAGAGGGGAAAGCTCACCAGTTAACATCTGGATGGAAGGCATGTACCTTCTTTGTGCATAAGACTATTCAGCTACCAAGTGGCTGAAATAGTGTAGGGCAAATAGAACTCAGGTTGGCCTGTTCTTAGTCTTTAAATGACTGTGATTACTTTCAGAAAATGAGGCAGTTTAGCAAAAGTACAATTCTCATTCTTAACAAAACCCAGCCTATTCTGAAGGGGGCCAGTAATTCCCATAAATATAAATGTAAACATAAAATGTAGTTGCTAAGCTCCTTAGAAACTCTAAAACACCCTGCAAGTGTAAATTAGGGTCATTATTTAACCCTGGAACCCGAAGCACGGCACGGCAGGTCAATGTCACTGTGCTGTTCTACCAGCCATGCAGTCTATTGCAGGGAGTGCTAACCTGTCACCACATTGTGTCCAGTGGAGCCAGGACTTAGCCTTGACACTCCTTCCTTGACACAGCACTCCAGACCTCAAGATGGAAGCTATTTGCAAACCCAGCAATAGGCTTATGTTTTGTTGGCAGACATCAGGACCAGTCTGTGGTTATAAAGCACTGCTTAGCACTTCCAGAGTCATGGCTCTCATTTAGACAAAGGAAAACAGATGTGATCCCTATAACAGTACAGAGGCACTGCATTACAAGCCCCAAAGGGGTTGACTTCTCTCTCCTCCTCTCATAACACTCCCCACCATCATCCTCATCTGGAAATGATTTACCTCCTTCTGCTTCTCAGAGGTCATCGGACCAATCCAGAGTCCCCACCCATGTCCCCTTACAAAAAGGTGCAAGAGGCCCTTCTGCCAAGGCCATTTTCCTTGGAACATGCTCTTTCCTCATTAATTGTATTTCAGGAGGGAACTGTTGGTAACATGGGGTGCCAGTCCCCCAACAACTGCCCTGAAGGTATGCTCTTAAGGAGATACACTGCTTTTCAGTTAATGTAGCAAACTCAGTGGTCACAAAAGGAACTGTGTCTCCCCCCGGTTGAAATCACATGTGTAACTGTGTTTCTGCAACCTCTAAAGGAAGCCTATAGAATTGGCAGTTCTTGCAGAAGGCTCCACAGAAAAGTCCATGTCGACCTAGGGATCTGAAAGGCATGTCAAAGACTCCTTCAGTGGAATGTGCAATGCACAAGAAACTTTTGTGTATGGATTTTAAGTCAAGACTCAACATGACATTCTGGACTACGTGAGGAAGAGCTCAAGCAGCTCAATTACCGACCCAGAAAGTAAGCTCTCGGTGTTTTACAGACCTCACTAATGAATGAGTCCCGTGGCCTCTGCTGGACTAGCCTTTCCAGTGCTCTGCCAGCCTGCCTCCCACACACCTGTAAATTTGTCAAGCTATAATGGATGGCTGGTGCCAGGAGAGGCTGAGGTCTATGCCTCTCTCCCCAGGATACATAGAGATCTCAAGCCATTAATAATTCATTCTAGAGTAATGAACATAGCCATATGAACTTCTGAGCAGTAATAATCAAGTGACAGATCAATTGATTACTTCAGTATGCCAAAAGATAATGGTAGGTAGTTTACAAAAGTTACAACTTTCCCCCCAAAAAAGTTTCATAAGCCTTAGATCAATGTGTTTTTTAAGGTCTAAAATAAAATAGATTGTTAAAAAGGAAATGAATGATGTTGGGTAATGGCCTCAAGCCTTTTTATATTAAGAGTTGCTTATCTAGAATTACTGTACCTTTTTTCCCAATGCCTTTGGGCACTGGGGCCTGCAAATTAGAGTAATTGTTATTCATTAATTAAATCTAAGAAATGAAACACAACTCCAGACTTTGAAAAGAGAGGTTGGAATAGTTGAGATATATTCCCCCCCAAAAAATCATCAATAATAATTGGAGGTTTTATGAGTAAGTAGCTGGATTGGGAACAGTTGTTTTATGCCTACCCAGACACATCCCATTTAACACCTCATGAATATTCGTTGGACTTCTCCTGGGCTAGGCACTGTGCTCAGTGCTGGTGTTACCACTTAAAATAAGCACAGTCTCTATCCTAAGGCAGTGGAGAGACGTTACTAACATGTAATCAAGATAATACTTCTGCCTTCATTGAGAGGCAGAGGATTGGGGAAAGACTGGACAGAGACTGCAGAGAGGAAGGGGGCCATTTGAGAAGAATAAGAGAACATTCTAGGCAGTGGAATGACGAAGGCAGATAGGTGTGAAAGTGGGGAGAGGGTGGATAGTAAATTGCTGTAATAATAATCACTATGTTTCCCACACATTGCCGTATTTAATCTGCACAACCACCTCATGAAGTAAACATATTATTCACCTCCCTTCAAAGACGAGCCCAAAGCTGAGACGTTGAGCGGTTTGTCCAGGGACCCAGAGCTGGGAGATGGCAGAGGAGGGCTTAGAGGTGAGTTGGGAAAGGTGTCTGGGCTTTACATTAAAGACAATAGAGCCCATCAAGGGTTTTATAATCATTATCAGAACAGTCGAACAGTAGCAGCATTGCTAAATACTTTACACACACCGTGTCATTGTGTTCTCTCCCAACAGCCCAGTGAGGTTTGAGGCCATTGTAGTTGTCAGCAGAGAAATGACTTGATCAAGGCTGAGTTATAGAAGTAACTGGTGGCGGGCGCCTGGGTGGCTCAGTTGGTTAAGCGACTGCCTTCGGCTCAGGTCATGATCCTGGAGTCCCGGGATCGAGTCCCACATCGGGCTTCCTGCTCAGCAGGGAGTCTGCTTCTCCCTCTGACCCTCTTCCCTCTCGTGCTTTCTATCTCTCATTCTCTCTCTCTCTCAAATAAATAAATAAAATCTTTAAAAAAAAAAAAAAGAAGTAACTGGTGGTGGCAGTCAGGATACAGTGGACCCTAGAGATGCTAGTCAGGGATCCTAGTTAGGAGGCTGTTGGTTTAGTCAGATGTAGTGTTGATGGTAAAAAAGTGATCATCCAAACCATATGTTTTTATATTGGTCTCCAATTTAAAAGTACTTTCATACATAAATAGCTTGTTGACTCATTTGCACAAGAGACTTTTGTGACTGGAGGGGTAAGTCTAATGACTTTGCTCAGTTGTCGGAGGGAGAAGTATAAGGGCATGGAATTCGCTTCCTGCACACAGGAGCCCATGATGAAAGGAGTAATGTTACAAGCAGCTTGTAAATGGGCATACTTGCTGATTGACTGAGTTACAGAACCAAAGTCTTTCCCCCTTGCCGGGTAAGAACCTGACCCTCTGCATTGAACGTGAGACAGAAATGTGATACAGCTCTGCGTAGATGGGAAGCTATGTAAGTAAAATCAAGAGCTTCCACTAGAACTCAGAAAATGCTTGAAATTACTTTTATGTGGACCAGAAACAGGACAGTATATCAGTGGCAACCGTCCTTGCTTAGCAGTCAAAAGGCAAGTTCTCTTCGTATCTGGCTGGTTCCACAGTTAAAAGTTTCACGGACCTAACCACCCCCTGCCCCTTTCGGAGGAGAAAGTTTTTTTATGACATTAGACTTTTTAGCCCTAGAAAATTATAGAAAAGTCCACATCTGCTGATAAAATTGGTTGATGTAGTAATTTCAGTGAAGGTTCAGTTTCACCACCAGCACTTTAAGGCAGGAGAACGTCTTCTCCTCCTACAAAATAGAAGTATTCAAGAGAAACAGTGCAGGCATTTATAGAATTGTGTGCAAAAATACTCTGTATAAATAGCGCTAAATGCTAGGGAGGTATGTCTGTGCAAACTGCTATCTCTGTCCAATTTCTCTCTAGTTTCTAGTAATGAATAGTTTCCTTTTTCTAACAGGTGATTTAGGGAAGCCCCTAATATTTTCTTAACAATACTAAATTAGGCTTAACTTTTAACTTATTTGTTGTCAGTAGATCATTTGTATATTTTTAAACACAGGGCCAGCAAATGAACAATTAAGTTTTGTGGCTAGGTCACAGTTTGGAGTTCAGATATATGTTGTGAGTACTATTTATCCAAAAATATGTATATGTATTTAGCAGATTACTTAGATCCAGCTACTGCTGACCCTGTGTGTTCGTTAGATTTTGAGTATAAGTGACATTATAAACATAGCCATATACATGGATACACAGTAGTACACTTTTATTTCTGTTTATGCCATATGTGTCGCTTAATGTAAGCCACATGTTTAGTGCAATGGGGTTTAATACTCTGAGCCTAAAGTGCTGAATTTCCCAAGATCTATTAGTCTTAAAAATTAGGTCTTGTTTTGTGCCTGTATTTGCAAGTGTATTAAAGCCATCAAGAGTTTTTATATTTGCACTAGAGAAAATGCTAAAGATCACAGTGGTTTAAGCAACAGCCAAGTATAAAAGTCGTAACTAAAAGAGATGAGCAGTTAGCTGGATTTGCAGAACAGGGATTCAGATGTGCAAAGTTTCACATTTTGGAGGGCAGCTGCTTTGGTTGGTTGGTTGGTTGGTGGTTGGTAGGCAAAACAGAATTGGGTAAAGGAGTGTCATGTCCTGGAAGAGCAAAATAGCCAGAATACTGAAGATTTCTGAAAACTTTGGGGGACAAAAATACAAGTGGAGAAGTCTCTCTTTGGACTCAAAGACATCCTAAGACCTCCCAGAGTCTGGCTCCTATCAGATGAGGAGTCTGAAGATAGGGAAGTCAGCTATTTGTATTGTCTTTCTCTCATTTGTGCCTTTTCTTTTCCTTCCTCTCAGTGTTGCTAACAACCATAAGCAGAATCTGATGACAGTGGCAAACCTCGGCGTGGTGTTTGGACCCACCCTGCTGCGTCCTCAGGAAGAAACAGTAGCTGCCATCATGGACATCAAGTTTCAGAACATTGTTATTGAGATCCTAATAGAAAATCACGAAAAGGTAATATATCATTGGTCACTGCGAGTGAAGAATCGTCTTTGGGGGGAACCTGAGTTGGAAATGACATTCAGGGTTGAAGCAGGTTCCCATTGCTAATGGCTCTTACACCATGATGCTGCTGAAGCTGCTGCTGATGGTGGTGATGTTGGTGATGGTCATCATCTTGTCATGCAACAGTGGCCAAATGGAGAGTAGGGGAGAGCAGTGGTGGTTATGGTAGCAGTTGTTGTGGGCAACATTGGTTGAGCATTTTTTCTGTACTGAGAACTGTGCTAAGTGAGCCTCCTTTAGAAAAGGCCCCTTACCCATTTTTTACGTGGTTGTCTGCTCATGAATTTGAGGTTTTTCCCTTAATATTGGGGAGGGTAACCTTTTTTTTATCTATAGTGCCAATATTTTTCCTAATCTGTAGTTTACCCTCCAGTTCTCTAAATGGTGTATTTTTTCATACTGTTCTGTTGGGAGGAGTCTGTCTTGTCTTTTAGGGCCATGGAGTTTCTGGTCTTTCTTAAAAAGATCTCTTTCATCCCATGTAATGAAGTTTGTCAACAGAGCTGCCCTTTCAAAACTCGGATGTGGGCCATGAAGTTTTATGCATCTGTCCCACCTTAGTTCCGAGTAGCACATCCTTAAGAAGCTTCTCAGAACTTGTAGGGTCCCCTAGAACACCATTTGACGGCCACAGTGCTGGGATATAATAAAAAGTAATTTAAAAAATGCTGTACCTCCTAAATGAAAACTCTACCTCGAATGGTGATTTAATTGTGCTAGATAGCCTGCAAAATAAATCTGTAATCAGACCACTTCTTGTCACTTGTCTGCACTGATAATACTCTGACACAAGCCGTCATCATCTGTTGTCTCAATATTTACAACAGCATCCTCATTTGTTCCCTTCCCCTACCCTTGGCCTGTCTATTTTGATAACAGCCACCAGAGTGAGATTTTTTTAAGTGCTAAGTCAAATCATATCATTCGTCTGCTGATTACCTTCCAGTGACTTCCCATTTCATAGCATGAAAGTCAGAGCCCTTATAAGAGCCTGGAAGGTCCTACACAGGCTCTGTTACTTACCTCATCTCATCTATGGCCTTCTCTTTTAGTTCACTCCAATGGCCACCTTGACTGCCTTGCTGTTCATTACACAGCGCAGCATGCACACCTCAAGGCCTTTGCAGTTGCTTTTCCCAGCACTTGGAAGTCTTTCTCCACGTAACTTTATGGCATACTTCCTCACCTCTTTTAGGCCTTCTAAATGAAGCCTACCTAGATCTTTCTGTTTAAAATTGCATATATTCCCAACTACAGCATTCCCCTTCTCCCTGATACTGTTTTATATCTCCACAGCATTTAACACTTCCTACTATAGTACATAATTTGCCTACTGATTAAATATCTTGCCTTTCTGACCTCCACTAGGATATATGCTTCTTGCATGCAGGGACTTTTATCTGTTTTGTCCACTGCTTTATCCCCAGGTCCTCAGTAGGCACTCAGGACATATGTGTTGGATGAACAAATGGGCTCTTGTGGTATTTGGCCTCCATAATGGTTCCAAGTGACCCTTTGTCACCTGGTATTCACTGCTCTGTGTAGTCCCCTCTCTGAAGAGGGGATCCTAGTATTGATCCCAATGTGATTGATAGGAAATTACAAAACTAATGGAGACTGACTCTGGAGACTGATCAAATAAGAACTTGCAGCATTTGCTTTGGCTTCTGGACTTGCTCACTCTAGGGGAAGCAAGCTACCATGTTGTGACAGTAGTCACACAACCCTGTGGGGAGGAAGTGAGGCTTCCTGCCAACAAGCAGACCAGTTGGGCCGCTATATGAGTGAGTCACTTGGATGTCAATCCTTTAGTCCTAGTCAGTCCTTCAGATGATGCAGCCCCAATGGACATCTTGTGTGCAACCTCATAAGAGACCAGTGAGCTAAGCCCCTGCTGAATTCCTGACTCATAAAAACTGGAGAGACACTAAATGTTTTAAGCCACTAAGTTTTCAAGGTAATTTGTTGTGGAGCATTAATAACTACTAAAGAACCTCTGAATATAAACTTTCACAAAATAACAAGTATCCTGCAAAGCTGTTTAAGTGGTATGGCCTCCCTTTTACACGGTTAATAAAGAGATAGGAAATCAAATGATTTATTTGAAGAAATTATCTTTTCTCTATTCCAAATTTTGGACCTCCATCCAGCCACCTCCCTCAAATATAGTTAAATCAGGTATAAGTAAACTTTATGTGATATATGAGAAAAATGAACTTGTGAAAAGGGAATATAATTGAATAGCAGTTAAAAATGGTTTCTAGGGATGCCTCAGTGGCTCAGTTGGTTAAGTGTCTGCCTTCGGCTCAGGTCATGATCCCAGGGTCCTGGGATCAAGCCCTGTGTTGGATTACCTGCTCAGCAAGGGAGCCGCTTCTCCCTCTGCCTGCCACTCCCCCTGCGTGCATGCACTCTCTCTGTCAAATAAATAAATAAAATCTTTTTTAAAAAATGGTTTCTAAAGACAAACCATCTGGATTCAGATCTGCCACCTCTTTCTAGATAATGTGACCATGAACAGATTACTTAACTTCTCTGTGCTCATAAAAGTACTTTCGGTGCAGTCTAACTGCTGGAACAAATAACCCCCAAATATCAGTGACTCAGGAGGATAGAAGTTTATCTCTTGCTCACAAAAGAGTTCTCCGTGGGTATTATGAAGGTGGTATCCTCTGTGGCAATTAAGCAACTCAGGTGCCTTCCATCTGGTAGCTCTGCCTTCTGCTCTGCAGATCTCTGCAATCAACCAGTTGGGTGAAATGGGAGAGTCTGGAAGACTGGATAAGATTGTATAGACTAGGGCACCTGGGTGGCTCAGTTGGTTATGCGACTCCCTTCGGCTCAGGTCATGATCCTGGAGTCCCTGGATCAAGTCCTGCATCGGGCTCCCTGCTTGGCAGGGAGTCCGCTTCTCCCTCTGACCCTCCTCCCTCTCATGTGCTCTCTTTCTCAAATAAATAAATAAAATGTTTAAAAAAAAAGATTGTATAGACTAAGCACAGAGGATGCTTTCCTTATTTTCTTCCACATTCTGTTGGTCAGAAGTCAGTCACATGGCGACATCTAACTGTAAGGGAGGCTGGGAAAGTAAGCTAACTGTGTGCTCAGAGCAAAGGGAAGTGAGTTTGATGACCAACTAGCCAGTTTGCCACATTCCTTCAGTTGGTTTTCTCTGAGGATTAAATAAGGTATGATATGTAAAGGACTTAGCCAGGAATCTGGCATGAAATAAGGTTTAATAACTGTAAACCATTGTTTTTAGCAGTCTCAACAGAGTGCTCTGAAAATAGAGCTCAAGTCCACTTCTGAATGGCACATGTCCCCCTCTCCCAAAATAAAACTTTTTGTAATTTGATCTTTTCTTTAATAAAATATTAAATGTTGAGACAGATATGCAAAGAATGAACAGTGTGATTATGTTCCATCTCCTCAAAGGGGCTGTATTTAAGCCGATATCAGGCGGTGTCCAATGATTTTTTGAACTATAACTCTTTTTGGTGTCTTTGGGCTTTCAAAGCCAGCAAGCAAATTCAAAAGTAACATGATAGAAAAAGGACCAGAAAGTGCTAATAACAATATTGAAACTTGGGTAAACAAGCAGCCATCCTGCTGAAGGCACAAAATACAGAAATAGAAATGAAATATGAAGTGCATGGCCAGGACTGTAAGTATATGGGCAGGAACTGGTGGAAAATACTCATCTGGTTTGGTGGGTTATAAATTATGGTACTCTCTGCTGTGTGTTTGTTAAGGTACCTACAGTATTAAGAGTATTACACTTCTTCATTATATGTTCCTTTTCATTAGTCTATGCCAGAGAGTGGGATGAATCACATTGAGGGTTTATGTTCCTGTGGGAATCAGTGATGAAAGAGTATGAGTGAAAACATTTCTTGGATGAAGACTGCCCCAGAGTGCCTGTCCACAGTCCTGAAGGAGCCTAGTGTACCACCTTGATAGAGGTTTTTTAATTGGGGGTCCACGATGGGCCAAAGTTTGCAAGACCTGGATATGTACATTCTTCTGGGGGGAAAGTCCTTCATATTCATCAGGTTTGCTTTTCTGGTAAAAACAACTTAGAATTAGTAAACTAGACTCCTTTTTAAATATAGCTTTAGGTCTGGTCTGGTATAAAATGAACAGTTCCTGCTTTAGGCTCCTTTTGGAGCCTATGAAGTTCACCTAATAGGAATCCTAAGCATCCATGGCCATGCTCTGGCCCCCGGCTTTCTGGAGATGATGCTTTGGATAAATATCCTCCCAGTAGAACTGAACTGTAGTCATCAAATCCAGAGCACTCTTATGTCCTCAGATGAATATTGTCAGAAACTTGTTCTTTAAAATTTACACTATTAAGATCTTAGTTAATATTTAATGAGCATTCCCTTAGGCTTGGCTATAATTTTCTAGAAATATGCACACACATACACAAATGTCCATGAGTGACTACTTTTCTAACTTTAGTGTCACAAGTTGGACAAAATTCTGAAACCCCATTTGAAGAAATGCTTTCCAACAGCATCTTTTTATCCTGTCTGCCAACAAGAAGCATGAGATAGTATATGCCGTCTTGCTTGAAACAAGGTCTAAAATGTATGTCCCCTGCAATGACTGGTGTAATACTCTCTCATGTTGTCAAGAACATTTTGTAGAAGGTGTTTCATTGGTCCCTTGGAATAAAATTAGGTAATAGAAGTGTAGTAATAGTAGACAGAAGTAATAGAAGATAGTACCAGAAGAGGGTATAGTGGCCCAGGCGTCTAGCAATTGGAGCCACTCAGAGACAGAACCATAAGATGCTTGTTGTAGTTATCTATTCCTGTATAACAAATCATCTCCAAACCTAGTGACTTAAAACAGCAAGGACTTTTTTTTTTTTGCTCTCAATTCTGTGGGTCAGAAATTTGGGGAGGGCTCCTGTGTGTCCCATACGGTATCTGCTGGGGAGG